AAGGAGCGTTCCAGTCGCCCCAGAACCTTCTCGATGAGCGGATCCCAATTGGCGGGATCAAAGACCTGGTACTATCGCTATGGCCGCTATGGGCCATGTGGAAATCTCACCAGCTCGTTCGTTTCATAGTTTTTTTTTAAAGATCTTGGTCCCTTGAAAATTTACGAAATGGAACCGCAAATGGCAATTTACAGTACCTGTAGACAATCTCTTTCTACGACTTTCACATGTTGTGATTTTGTTGCGTGACGAGCTGCCCTTTCTATCCTCTTGGTGACATAAATCGCATCAGTTGCGAGCCCAATGATAAAGTCATGTACTTTTCCCATCTTTTACCGCAGTTCTTTCCCATTTTGGGTTTGTCAAGGTTTCTTTGAGGTTTACCATCTGAATGGCATTGAACGGCAGCTTTGCGGCCCGGTTCCCATCCCAATCTCCAGCTTCATGTGGCCTGTTGCCAGGGTTTTAGAAGACCATGAGCCGAAGGGTCACTGGGATCCCACTTTTCCAAGCAACTGGAGATCTTGAACCTGCCAGGATGAGATGGTAGATTTGGTGAAACCCCGAAAGGTGGATTTTTGGGGCTGACAACTTACAGGAAACATCAGGAAACCATGGTTGATAACCATCAAATCTTGGGTGGTTCCTGGAAATGTTCACTTCCTTGGGATGGTTGGACGGGTGACCTTAATGAACAGGGTGTCAGTGCTCTTGCTGTGAATAGTTTCAATCAAACACGTTTGAGCTTGTTTGCAATGTATACATTTCATGCTTACTTGCTTCTCAAAGCCTTGCACAAAAAAGAATGCTGGTATCTATACTTCGACAAGGGGGACTATTGTTTTGATCTGCTTTGAAGTGTCTAGGTGCGCCCTGAATCTTGTCAATCCTGCTTCCATGGGTTGCAATTGCTTGCCAAGGATTTTGATGGAGAGTCTTTGAAGTACCTTTAACATTGCTGGCTGTCTAGATTAGCTTCGTTCACAACAGCTCTTCTGCCGTGCTAGTGTACAGAAACACAACAAGCACCGGGGCGAACCTGATAGGCGTCCAAAGCATCTCCATCTTCCGTCCCAACAAGGGCAGCCATGGATGCAACCACAAATGCGCTGATCTCTGATCGATGCGCGGATCCCAGACTTCAATCTCAGATCTTAATCTGGGGAGCACCACCTGGGTCTGAAAAAGTAAGGGAAAAAAACCGTTCATCCTATGCGAAAACAATTTTCCTGTTGAAATATGCGTGTACGTATAATATATATATATACACACACACACACTAATATAAAATTAACCATTTTTGGGTATCACTGGTATCACTCCCAAGGTTCGGTTGCTAAAACTAGTTCCCCCATCTTAAAATGTCCAAAAAAAGGCGGTTAAAAGGCTCCTCATATCCCCCATGTTTGAAGCCCCACCTCTGCCACCAGGGAATCTGCCACCTCCGTCCGCAGCAGCCGCTGGCAGGTTTCCATCAATCGAATGCAGGGCTCGAAATCCCTGGGGGCCCATGCAACCAGCGCCTTGCGGAGCTGGGGAATCAACGAGGCATCCAGCAGAGCCGAAAAGCGCTCCTTGTCGCCCAAGTCTTGCCTGCGCGCAACGCGGTGAGTGGTGGAGCTGAATCACAAAAGAAAAAATGCCAAGTGAGACCACTTTTCTGCCACATTTTCGTGGATGGAGAGTCACATATATGCTTAAAGCATCTTAAAACCATGAAGGATTATCATTCCAAAAAATGCGGATGGAAGGAATATGGAAAGTCAAAAAATCCACTCTGAACCCCCTGGAACTCAGCCAACTTGCCATTTGGCCATGGCTTTCAGCACCAGCTCCGGGGCTTTGAAGGGTTGCCAGGTGGACAGTTCCCGCTTGGCCGTGGGTAGGGCCAAGGCGAAGGCGACGTCGATGGCTTGCAACAAATGAAACTCTTTGGGTCGCGATCTTTCCTCCAGATGATAGGGATCTAACACCAACCATTTTTGGGATGGGGATATATATATATATATACATTGATATAGATATAGATACAGATATAGACAGAGATATAGAATGATATAGATATGTACTCATGGGTCGTACTTAGAGGTGCGAGACAAAATTTGTAAGTGAAAAGTCACTGGAAGATCCATGGAGAGTGGGGCATCTGGTGCATTTTAGGACGACTACCCTCTGGTAATTTAACGTAGCTATTGAAAATGGCCATTTATAGTGGATTTTCCCATTAAAAATGGTGATTTTCCATAGTTATGTTAAATTACCAGAGGGTATTGGGATTATTGCGATGAAAATTGGGATGGAAACTTGGGGCTGCAGAACCCAAGGGCTGTATGACTGGGGCATCTAAGTCGTGGAGCACTGCGCCGATGGGAACTGGGACTTGAAGGGAACTGGGTCATCTGTGCAAATGGCTCAAAGTTCTACGTGTTCACAACATTCTGAAACATAACTTCAAGAGACTACAGGCCTTTCTTGTCAGATCCCAAGTCTTATCCACATCCGTGTTTCTTATGTTTCCGTTGAGCTCTATCCTGCCTAGCATTGGTCATCTTCATCGTACCCCCTCCAACTGATCTCACACCAAGCAGCTAAGCGGTGAAAGGTCTCGGCCAGTTCGCTCAAGCCGATGCTTCCTTCATCCTGTCGTTCCCTCAAAGACTCCATTTCCACCACCAACTCCTAAAGGGCTTGATGAAAACCATGCTGAACTAGAAATGTTACGTGGTAAACCCATATAAACCCCACTTCTTGAGATGTATGAAACCCTTAAATTGGACGGTTAATTCCTGCTATTTGCATGGCCACATTACTACAGCCGTCCCCTTGAAAGGGCCCCATTACCTGCGAGCTGATTTTTCAGACCTTATGGGCTCGGTGGTTTAACAATGTTTCACCATCCCTGCAAGTTCTGCCCATTGAATCCAAACACTGCTTGGTGGTTATTATGATGGTTATATGCCCAATTAATGGTTATTATGATGGTTAATGATGGTTAATAACTATATCTGGTTGGTGGTTGAGCTACCCCTCTGAAAAATATGAAAGTCAAATGGGATGATGACATTCCCAATATGATGGGAAAAATAATCAAAATGTTCCAAACCACCAATCAGAACATCCTGCCCACTGCAACATCTCATTTTGGCTGCTTTTCAGGCAAAGCCACTTGGAAAATATGCTCATGGATTGGGGATCGTCATCTATGTTTGGGAGGATGACAAGTAACAACAAAATACAACAAACATCTTTAAAACATGTCAAAACCGCCCATCACTTTGTTCTATCATCCCAATTTGCAGCAACTTGACAACCCTCCTTCAATTTCTGCTCAACCTCCCATCCCCAAATGCGAAGTTCCAGCACCCTCTCCTTGCAGCCTTTCACATCAGCTTCACTGATGTTATCTGCCGCCTGGAGCCTCTCCTGCTCCTTGGCGGCCGAAAGGATGACGTTCTCGCAGTGCCTCTTGCGCTCCGCTGCCAATCGCACCTTGTCCTCGTAGCGCGACACCAAGAGACGTGTGTTGTGGCGAAACTCCTTGAGGCTTCGCACGGAATCACCTGGAATCAATGGCTGGGGATGTCGACGACTAGGCATCCAATCTTTGGATGTAAATAAATTTGGACCCAACCCACATCTGGCAGATGCAAACTTGCTCTCATCACCCCTCAAAAAAAAATGAATCATCAAAGTTACATATTGCAAGATATTCAAAACATATTAAAAACATATAAAAACATGTTTAATATGTCAAGCCCAAAACTTTCTTGGTGCTTCCCTGATTTCACCTGACAGGTTGGCCGCCAGCTCAGCAAAGGAGGAGGCCACCTTGACCTCCGGGCCGCGCATGTCGACAATGCGCATGGCGGGCACCTCGCCTGTGGAAGCCATGTTTGCCGGAGGGTATTCGGTCTTGTTATCAAACTTGTTGTTAATCAAACTGTTCTAACTATTAGGAGTAGTAGTTGTAGTAGTCGTTTTCGTCGTTTTCGTCGCAGTATTCTTCTGATGAGGAGGAGACATGGAGATGGATCGAAATGGGTTCCTCGGAAGACTGGAAGGTTAACACTATGAAACCACAAACGCCTCAAGTTGTAAACATCAGGCGGGCATGATGACAATGAGAGTAGTTCGAATAGTTCGAAACTGCTGCAGGGAACATGTTTGGCCATGGAAACCTCCTCTCACGTCTTTGAAAGGATGGAAAGGGTTTGCAGGAACTGGCCTGCATTCTCTTCTGCTGTCTTGTAGATGGTCTTCTGCTTCTTTGGCTTGCCATCCTGGGTTGGCAGATTTGGCTGCCTGTTCTATTGTATCCAACGCCAGCAGTCATAGGGATGGAAGTGTTTAAGAAAAAAATGAAATGCATTTTCAAACAAAGAGGCCAAAAACTAGCAAGGTCAACCAACCCGTCTTAGTTTTCATTCAGCTGTTCACTTCAAACCTCAGAATTCCGGGGTTCGCCGCATCAGCCTCGCCTGTCTCAAACCATTTGTCATACACATGTTTAATTTGATCATTGGGTTGGCTGATAAAAATCCATGAAATCCTGACTTTTACCATTAAACATCTGTGCCTTGATGTGTGTATCGTGTATATAAATGTTCACTTCATCCATTTTTTTTGGCCTTGATCATCTTGTTCATCCCATGTTTCATTCAAAAGTTCATCCGGGATCATTCCGAAAAATTCATCCACCTGGAGATAACCCTGATCACCGAGCTATACCTGGTACTTTGGGATGTCGGTCCCCGCAGTCGAACCGTGGGTGAAAGTCCACAGTCAGCTAAAGCATGGCATAATATTGCTCAAAAAAAATTAGTCACCCACTGAGTCCGGGGCTGTGTCATTATGGACCTCTGAGTTCATGCGAGAGTTATATTAGTCACCCACTGATTGTTGCTGTTCCGAATCACATACAAACCATGTCATTTCTGACTGGTATTTTCAAGACCAGTAAATTGTGGTCATCATGCCAGGTTGGAAGACCACAATCTCTTTGAAACCACGAACCAGAAAAATACCTCATACTCCTCTAGATTCGACAATTGTCCCCCATGGGTGTGCCTGAAAATAGGGTGCCCTGTTCCATCCACTATTGTATCAATAGTTTCAATGATCATGTTCCCTATTGAGTGGCAATAGTTTGTGGGGACCATACCCGATTTTCAGACGCGCTGAAGAATCATATTAGTAACCTATTAGTATATATATATATATACAGTATATGTATCCATTTACTCCGCCTCTATTCCTATTATGTTCCCACTATATTCCCAGTAACCCTCTGGTAATTTAACAGTTTGCTATGGCAAATCACCACTGAAATTATAGGTATATCATCGAGCTCAATGGGTCATGGCATCAATCGAGCAATCTCCAGCAAGAACCAAAGGGTAGCCATGATAGTATTCCTTACCTATATCCCCAGTATATTATATCCCTATTGTATCCCCAATAAACCAGGAAAACCCCATGGTTCAGGCCGTGTCTCATTAATACCCTCCAACCCCCATGAAAACTATCCCATCAAACTCATCAAACCACCATTTTCAATGGTTAAGCCAACCGTTTCTATGTTCCCACTCTATTCTCATTTATTTATATTCTCAAATTCTCACTATATTCCCACTATATGGATCTACAGTATATGGAGGTTTCCTAAGTCATGGGGGTACCCCAAATCATCCAAGTCATTAGAAGTATTGAAACCCATGGGGGGATCCCCCACTTTAGGAAACCTCCACATTTCTAGTCACAGAAAGCCATCATGCCCAGTAGCTCTCTTCCATCCATCGCTGATTTTGGGTTCCGTGGACTTCTTCTCAGGTGCCCGGTCTATGGACAGCAGCTCCTCCACTGTACGTCGGCCACCTGTCGGCCACGGATGGCCGGAACGTGGGGATCTGGAACGGATTTCCCAAAGATGGGAGTTGAAACATGGTAAACCTATGGAAAAATGATGAAAAATGAGGATGTTGGCCAAAAATCACCCAAGTCTCCATGTTCTTTCCTAAGCAAGGTGTGCGCGGCAAGTAGGACGAGACTATGAACCTGCGGAGGATTTGGGGATCCTCGGTCTGATATTCATCCGTCCAAGCCCCCCAAAAAAATATGCCATGCCATTCACCATCTTTCCAGTTGTCCCACCTTCATTTCCGTAGAGGTCTTGATCCACCATCTCCCCATCATCTTGCAACGCGCGCTTGCTCTGCCGCTTTTGCACCTCAATAGGATTCGCGATGCCGTCGTTGTGCTTTCCCAGCCCACCTCCAGTGAAGCCCATTTTCTGCAACATGGCAAAACCTTTGCCGTAGCTACTGGACATCTGGTTGAAGGACAACTTGTTGCGCGCAGGAAGCTTGGGTCCCTCCACGGCAGGCTTGAAGTTGCCATTGGGAACACTGGCATCGAGGACAAATCGGCTGTCCACATCGGAATTTGCATCATCAGCATCATCCTTCGCGTCTTTCTCTTCTTTCTCTTCCTTCGCTGGGGCCTGGGTCGCAGCTCGCGAAGCATGTGCGATAGGACGGGCTATGGGATCCATCTGGAATCCTTGGACTCTTCCCGATAGATTTTTCCAGACTCCCAACCCTAAATTGACTAGATAGCAGCAGATAGCATGACTTCATGACTGCAGCAATACTTCCCAAGCTACATCATCCAGGTCGGATCTTGATAGCTGGGGACTGGACGAACAACAACACCATTTTGTCCTGACCTTGATACAGCACGGTTTTCACAGGCATCTTTCCTCCACTCTCCCCGCTTCAAATTATTCGGACATATCAGCATTCCTGAAAATCTTCATCTTCACTTCCACCAAAAAGTATATCAACGAACCAATTCCCATCAACCCCCAGCCCACCATTCACCATACCCCAACCCTTCTCTTCGTTTCAAGTGGCTGGTACCGAGGTAGGCTGCAATGTTTGCCCCCGCACGAAGCTGATGCCCTTGGTCAAATCCCCTGTCGAAGCAGCAGCGCCCCGTGGCTTGCGCGAACGCAGCTCACCCTCTGCGAAGATGCCCAGGATGTTCCTTAGTGCAACCATGGCAGGCCGCGCCAAGATGACGGTTTTGGAGCTGCATATGTGTATGTATGTCTCATATGTGTATATATATATATACATTATGTATGTGTATATATATATATGATATATACGTGTGTATATATATATATATATTTCAAAATACATAGAAATATATATATAGATGTACAAGTACCTTGAAACCAGCATCCTGGCAACCAAGCGCAAAAAAACAAAGATGAACGACGTCAATTGTCGCAGTTCCATTTGGAAGCTGGGCTTCTGATTGTTGGATTGCGATTAAATTCCGACCCCATTTTTGGTCCGGATCTGGCCCTTTTTTGGGGGGTCGCAAAACACAAACAGGAGCTGCTCAATACGGACAGCAAGGACACATACGCTGGTACATGTGCTTCCGCCAATGCAAGCTGGCAGCGGCGCATGTCCATGATACTGTGTATATATATATATTATAATGCACAGTATATACAATGTATATACAATGTATATACATTGTATATACCCATAGTTGCTCAATATTCCTAAGTAAAAAGAATTCGCTTAGACTTTGGAGCCGCAAACGAGTAAAGGAAAAAGGAGTCCATCTCCACCATTCAGATTGATTTGCGATGGATTTGGTGGGATGGATCCAACACCCATAATCCGTCAAATTCCATCGTCTTGATCCAAAAAAAAACAACAAAAATTCACATTGGGGTCGGAATAGACTCAATAGATTCAATAGACCAATATTCACTATCATCATAGATTCAATAGATTCAATAGACCAATAGATTCCATAGACCAATATCTTGATTCAATAGACTATCACTATCACTTTCCAGCCATTCACCTAGCAAACTCACCGGCCCTTTGAGGGATCTCATGCCAAGCATCTCATCGGATCCTCGCCTGGATCGCTCCATCGCCTCAGAGTTCAATGGCCATAGTCAATGGATAGGATATAAAGGAAAATCTAGAGGAAACCCATCGATTTTCCCATTTTTTCTATGGGGCTTTCCGGTGAAAATTGTCCCTTAAACCAATCCATTGACATAAATGATTGAAATTGGGGGAGCCACCCATTTCGCTTCTACAAAGATATCTTTAAAAAGTGTCTGGTGGAAATGGATTCAGCATCCTTCACTGACCACTGGGCTGCCCAGGCGAATGAAGTGCCATGGACTATGCACTGCAAGCGAATGACATGTCCAATCTTTCTGATTTTGCAAAGAATATGGGGACCATTTAAGGCAACTCTGGTTCTATCTTTTTTTGGTGGGCTCAGGGTGTCGTGCTCAAGGATTTTGCTCTGCCGACTTGTCTGAATCCACTTGAATCCTTCCCATTTCCGACCATGAACTCTGCTGATGCAGCCACAGACCCGTATCCGTGCAGTTTGAATTGGGTTGTAGGAGCTTCCCCAGCAGTGGGCATGTTGACATGAGCCGCTTGCAAGCTGGAAAAACAGAACAAAACTCGAGTTCTGAAATTGACCACTGTATTCAGTATGGGTGTGTTGCATAGCTTTCCCATCCCCAAAAATCCAAAGATGGCACTCCAAAACCCCGATGCCCCGAGTCCAGTGTGCCAAAAATGGGACAAAAACCCTCGGATCGGCATCGGCTTTTCTCACACGCTGGGAGGGACGTAGCCACCATGTCCGGGCTGCTCCAACAGACTTCGCTCGCCCTCCGGCAACTGATGGGATGTGGATAGCTGAGGATTCTGATTTTGGTAGGATTCGGCATGTAGAAATTTGGGTGTACAACCATCTACCAAACAGTGCTAGGGCCCCTAATCATCTTTGAACATCCTATTCTTCCTACCATCAGCGGCCAAATGCTGGCTACTTAGCCCTTCTTCAATTCTCGCTGGATCTTGCTCCATTGGTTCATTCATTCTTCGCCGATTCTGAATGAATTCGAAGTTATTCCATGTTTTTCAACCAAGAACACCCCATAAAACCCAATCAAACCCGATAAAATTAAAACCCAATCATTATCAACTCCCCTTGGCTAAAACCCCTGGACCTCGTGCAAGTCGTATGCCATCTCAAGCTCCGGCAGACTTCGCGCCTCACCCTGGCGTGGGGATGTGAGGTTTCGGTAGAGGGATCGACATGATTTCTACAAAATAGCATGAATTACCATGGAAGTGGCTACTTCTAGTTTTTACCATTGGATGATTGGGTCCGTTTCTAGGAAAAGTTGGCCGCACTTTGACCTTCCGAGTCTTTTAGCGGTTCCTGATGTTCCTGTTTTCCAAATGCATAAGATCCATTGCGAAACACCTGCCATGTGGAGTCCCTCCCTCCACGCAGTTAAGTACATCCAAATCCCCGAGAAATCCCATGGTGCAATGGTTGTATCATCATTTTCCAGATACTGAGGCTATAGCCTCAGAACATGAAAAACCATGCCACCCCCTCCTCGGCTATGTCCCACTTCACCGGACTTCACCGGACTTCACCTTGCTACGTCCTCGAGTGATCATCAACAGCACAATGATGAGGGCCTTAGGTGGTCATAGCATCCTATCCTTCGTGGTTTTTGTTGATTCCCTTGCGAAGTTGGCTCAATTCTTCCAATTTATCACTTGTTCATGGGAAATATGGGAAACCCATCCCATATTTCAGTGACAAATCGAAGCGTCCAGCTGCAATGCATCCAGTCATCGGTGGATTAAGTCTCCAGGGTTTTTTTCCAGGAAAATCCCTTGGTCTCTATAGCCCCTAGCTAATATTTCCCTTGAAATTGCTGGGATTGCATCAGCAACTGGAAGAGACCACCAAAAACTACAGTAATTATCCATCTGATCCAGAAACATTGGGATTTGACAAGAAATGGGCAGAAATTGCATCCCTCACGAACCATCTAGCCTGGAAGGCAAGTTTCAACGGGATGAGACCCCAAAACTAGCATCTCAATAGGGAAAATCCCTATGTTCAGGCAAAGCCAAAGGGGATTGTGTTTTTGGGACTTCCATTGGCCATAGCCGCCATATCACCTCGCCCAATGGAACCAGTGGACCAACCCGTTCTTGCAGCTGACTGAAACCATGTTGGATTCCTGGGGCCATGGACCTACCAGGGTATTCATCCCTTCCTCCGATAGAATATCCCTAGAATCCCTTGTTTCGCATTAGATCCATTAGATCATATTAGATCCATTCATTCTTGGTGCTTCTTTTTGGAAGTATAATATATTGCAACCGCTGTACCGATTTCAGGATGGGGAACCCCCCCTGGCCCACCGTGGGCCACACCACGATGGCCATCATGTAGGCCGGCGTGTGATCTGCCGTGCTGGACGACCTGCTATGATACCAAATCTCCAAGTCCTCATTGTGTCACTATCGAGGAATCCGAAATGACGTGCTTCGAACTTCCCCTCCGCTAAATTGGCTAAATCCTCTATGGTTATAGTTGAGTTACCCCGTAACATGATGATTTTAAACCATGGTTCTGTGAGTTTTTTACGCCCGTGATTTGTTTTCCATCTTTACGACCGCCTCAGCAGCGCAGGCACCACTTGCGTGGCTCTATAGCCTGCGACCTTGAAGCTCTGCCGGTTCACTGAAGATTGGATGGTTTTCATCAACAAATCTAAGGATTTCACTAAGAAAAAGTGGAGATTCAAACCAACAAAATTGAGGATTCAAACAACATCTACAAAAAAGGAGAGATAACCTCTGGTAATCGAACGCGGCTCGAAAACCACCATGTCTTTGCATTTGGAAAAACATCAACAAATGAGTGGGGATGTCCAAAACAATTTAAACAGTGACAATGGAACAAGTGATGTTGTTATACCCTTCAGTCAACTAACATAGCTATGGCAAACGGCCTCATTATAGATGATTACGTGGTTTATCTATCAAAAATGATGATTTCCAGTGGATGATAGGTGCAGATCTGAGCGCCAAACAGCATAGATCTGCCCTTGAGGTAGGACCAGGGATGCTAAAACGTTGACCTCAAGGGTGACCCTTCGTAGAAAAAAATGCAAGGAAAATATGACATAAACATGCATAAACATACATGTCTATCTATCTATCTATCTATCTATCTATCTATCTATCTATCTATCTATCTATCTATCTATCTATCTATCTATCTATCTACCGATCTACCGATCTATCTACCTACCTATCTACCTATCTACCTATCTACCTATCTACCTATCTACCTATCTACCTATCTACCTATCTACCCATCTACATATCTACCTATCTAACCAACTATCGATCTATCGATCTATCTATCTACCTATCTACCTATCTACCTATCTACCTATCTACCTATCTACCTATCTACCTATCTATCGATCTATCGATCTATCGATCTATCTATCTACCTATCTACCTATCTATCTATCTACCTATCTACCTTTCTACCTCTCTACCTATCTATCTATCTACCTATCTACCTATCTATCTACCTATCTACCTATCTACCTATCTACCTATCTATCTATCTATCTATCTACCTATCTACCTATCTACCTATCTACCTATCTACCTATCTATCTACCTATCTACCTATCTACCTATCTACCTATCTAGCTACCTATCTACCTATCTACCTATCTACCTATCTACCTATCTACCTATCTACCTATCTACCTATCTACCTATCTACCTATCTACCTATCTATCTATCTACCTTCTACCTATCTACCTATCTACCTATCTACCTATCTACCTATCTACCTATCTACCTATCTACCTATCTACCTATCTACCTATCTATCTATCTATCTATCTATCTATCTAATCTATCTACCTATCTACCTATCTACCTACCTATCTATCTATCTACCTATCTACCTATCTACCTATCTACCTATCTACCTATCTACCTAT